GCGAGAAGGATGCCTTTAATTTCCGCAACATCCGCAACCCGACAACGGTGGTTGTTGCCGAGGACGAGGTGGCGGTAGATCCCCACATTATGTCCACACCGGTGATTGTGGATGCCGACGGTGACGGGGATCTTGACATTGTTCTGCACCTCAGTTATTTTTTTGACATGAAGGCGTACGAAGGCGAAAAGGCAGAGCTCCTTCCGTCTGATATTGACATCAACGACTACGTGGCGGACGTGCTGATGGTTTTGAACCTTGTGACAGGAGAGATGAAGTGGATGAAGGTCCTACACCTATCGAAGAAAAACGACACCATTCCCGCCTACGCACTCTCGTCGCCTGTCATTGCGAACCCCGATGAGGACAATCAGCAGGATATTTATGTGACAACGACTGCCGGGGCCATTTTTGGCTTCAACGGGCACGGTAAACAGCTGAGTGGCTGGCCGGTGTGGATGAGCAGTTCAATAACGTCCTCGCCCTCAATGGAAGATGTGAATGCGGATGGTCTCATCGACGTGTGTGCCGGTGACACAGAAGGCAACGTCGCATGCTTTACAGCAAATGGAAAGCAGCTGTGGAGCAAAACTTTTTCTGGCGCCGTCACTAAGCAAATTACTTACGGTGACGTGGACGGAGATGGAAGCATTGACCTGGCATTTGGCACCACCTCCGGATTGCTCTACGCGGTGCGAGGACGCGACGGTGCGCTGCTGCCGCACTTCCCCATCGCAGCGGAGGGGCCTATTCTTGCACCGCCACTGCTTGTTAACCTCAACATTACACAACCGTTGACGCAGCAAGAAACAGAGGGTCTTCATATTATCGTCCCTTCACACGATGGGGTCCTGTACATTGTGAGCGGCACCACCGGCTGTGTGGACGGTATTGATATTAATGAGAAATCATCCACGATGGTTCTCGCCGACGATATGACTGGCAATGGCAAGCTGGACCTTGTCGTAAGCACCCTGAGTGGGAGCGTCATGGTGTTTGAGACACAGGCTGCATTTCATCCTCTCAAGGCATGGATTAGCCGTGTGAAGTCCACAAATGGACTCACGGCATCCGAAGGGTACGTTGGGGTATTTATTCACCCTAGTAGTCGTGTACCTCGCGACATACGCGGAGAACAATTTGTCCTTCTTGTAACCATTTATGATCAGCGACGTGGCGATGCTATTAAGCGGCGGTACGGCCTCACCATTACCATTGGCCCACGTATTCTGGTGCATCACATGGTGTACGGGGCTCCTGGGACATACGCCATCACGCTGCGTACCCCGCTGGAGAGAATGTACGCCTCCCTCTTCGTTGTGATGTTGTTACCGAATGGGCAGAGATATGAAGACAGCGTAGCACTGAGCTTCAATATGCATTTTCTTGAAAGCATTAAAATTGTATTTCTGGTACCATTCTTGTTGGCATGTCTCGCCATCTCCTTTGTACGCAAACAGCATGAGGTCCAGCCGCCCCCATTTGAAACACAGCTCTACTAACGTTGACCCTGGCAATGCCGGCCGCCGCAGCGTGGTGTCAGGGTCGATTGCCCCGTATTGTCGGGGGAAGCCAGGAGTCAGCAATGTTTCCCTCACGGGATTGTTGCTGTTGGCACGGGGCTGACGGTATTCGACCAGCGCCAGCAGCAGCCGCGTCTTGCTGGGGCACAGTTGTAACGCCATGAGGTGTAGGGGCGCGTGCTGCCGTACGGCGTGCGAGTCATCGGATTTATTTGTGAAACGATGAGAAAAGTAAATTAAAAAAACAGGACAAAAGTTAACGCTGAGTGCCACAAGGCAATTGGACGAGGGTAAGAAAGCAAGAATGAAATTGAAGAATAGAAAAGAGCATCGGAGACAAGGAGGCATGTTTTTTGTTGTTTTTGTTCTTGTTCGTTTCCCACCCCCGCCAAATCAGGGCATCCAATGCAACTTTTAGGGTAATGCCAGGTGAGGGTGTTACGTGGTTTCACTGTTCTTCCTGTGCATGTTTATGGTGATATATTAGTGAACGAAAATTGAGTAAGATAAATTCTTTTTCTTTTTCTTTACCCCCACCCCCTTGTTCGCCGTCTGCCTGCCTGTGGGGAGGGGTTGCCATGGCTGCCTGAACTGTGGGAGTTCACTATATTTCTTGTTTTTGATGCTCGTTGTGAGTTCCAAGACCGGGGTTTTTGTGGGCAGTCACAGTAGCAACAGCGAAGGATGTGGCGACTCTCCTTCATTTTTCGTCAGCTGCAAAAACAACCGTACGCGGATTCCATCGGTTATTCCGCCGCCTTTGCGCCAGTGTCGGAGCGTCCAGTGGGCGCGTACCAAATGGCCACCGCGTTGTACTCCCCTGCAGCCACGCAACTGTCACGACGAAAGGGCCACGCCGAGCGCCAGAAGCGACACACCGTGAAGATGCGCCTCATCTCGCACGCCAGCCGATTGCAACTCGGCATGGATGGCGAGAAATGAGGAACGGAGAGTACAAACGCACACAGAGAGTAGTACATTATTGGGGGAGAGGTGGTTGAACGGCGTGGCGATGCGATAGTAAGTTCAACACGCTAGACGACATGTTTTTTTCCGCTTTTTTTTTTTTTTTTTTTTTTTTTTTTTTTGCTGGGCTGCTGCTGCTCTGCAAAAAGGCACCGTGACCTTTCACAGTGAATGAAAAAAAAAAAAAAAAGGAGTATACATACAATCATGTTTCTATGTGTCTCTTTTATTTATTTATTTGATTTATTGATTTGTTGATAGTGAGAGAAGCAGACGAAATAATATCTACTTTTTGTTTTTCTCCCGTAAAGGTGGGAGGCGACACGCACACTCCAGACCCGCACGCATTAGGAAGGCATGCTCAGAACCGGCACCAGGCGGATCCTCGCATTAGGCATTGAGGGAAGTGCAAATAAAATAGGGGTGGGAATTGTGGATGAGGCGGGCAATGTGCTCTCGAACGAGCGCGAGACGTACATCACCCCTGCTGGGACTGGTTTTTTGCCGCGGGAAACGGCACAGCACCACACGACGCACATCCTGCGCCTGGCGCAGGCCGCTTTTGAAACCGCGCAGGTGCGTCCCTCTGATATCAGCGTCATCTGCTACACTAAGGGACCAGGCATGGGGGCGCCACTCGCGGTATGTTGCACGGTTGCCAAAACTCTCTCGTTGTTGTGGTCTGTCCCACTGGTTGGTGTGAATCACTGCATCGGGCACATTGAGATGGGGCGTGTTGTAACGGGGAGTAATAATCCAGTGGTACTGTACGTGAGTGGGGGCAATACACAGGTGATTGCGTACGCGGAACACCGCTACCGCATCTTTGGGGAGACCATTGACATTGCAGTGGGGAACTGTCTTGACCGCGCAGCGCGGTTCCTTGGACTCCCCAACGACCCCGCTCCCGGTTACAACATAGAACAGTGCGCCAAGCGTGGACGCCTCTTCATTGAACTTCCTTACGTTGTGAAGGGGATGGATATGTCTTTTAGCGGCCTTCTCTCCTTTATGGAGGCACTTCTGCAGCATCCACAATTTAAAGACAGAGATAAGTGTTCATCCGCATTGGCATCCTCCGTGTCTTTGTCCACACAGCGGCGAACACTGCCCAATGGAGTCTTGTGTGCTGTGGATGAGCCTTTTGGCATTGATGATATCTGCTACTCCCTACAAGAAACAATTTTTGCTGTGTTGGCGGAAGTAACAGAGCGAGCCATGTCGCAATGCGAATCCAACGAGGTCCTCATTGTCGGTGGTGTCGGATGCAACCTTCGACTACAAGAAATGATGCGGCAGATGGCAACGTCTCGTGGAGGCCGTTGCTTTGATATGGACGCACGATACTGTATTGACAATGGCTGCATGATTGCCTACGCTGGCCTCCTGGAATACAAAGCCGGCGGATTTACATCACTTCCGAACGCAACCATCACGCAACGATTCCGAACTGATGAAGTAAATGTCTCGTGGCGATGACAAATAAAAAAAACTTCACGCACGGATATTCACCTCAAGAAAAATAGAGATAAAGGGGGGGCACTCACATGCACACCAATGTTTCTGCCAGACAGACGAAAATGAAGACTAAAGACCACCAAATTTGGGTGGTCCCCCAACGTGCACAAATTATCCCACACGAAAAGAGAGACCGTCAGGCCTGCCGTTGCTTCCTTGCCTTCTATTCCCGCGGGCGTCGGAGGTGGCGCGGAGGAAGAGGCTGTAGAGAAAAAAAACAACAACGACGGTTTCCGCGCGTGGCCGCCACCAATGATGAACTGTCACAATTGCGTGCTGTCCCGCGGACGGTGCCCGGTGCTCTGAATCCTCTGCGACTTGTGTGTTCTCCTTCTCTTCTCACCACCCCCGCGGCAATCCCTCTGCAAAGAGACGGTCTTGCCGCTATTGATTTAGGCACAATATAAATTCTACAAACAACACTCGAAGGGCACACAGGTAGGCACCGAGTACGATGGGGAGGACAGTCGTCGGGGCCAGCAGGATGTTCTGGCTAACGCATTTCGTGCCGCTTCTTCTGGCGCTCCGCCCCAATGAGCCCGCGCACGCCCTGGCACCCGGATCGAGCCGAGTTGAGCTGTTTAAGCGGCAAAATTCGACGGTGCCGTTTGAAGACAAGGGCAAAGTCCGACAGCGAGTTGTCCACTCGTTCCGCCTCCCCGCCCTTGTTAATGTGGATGGGGTGATGGTTGCCATTGCAGACGCTCGCTACGACACATCCAATGACAACTCCCTCATTGACACGGTGGTGAAGTACAGCGTGGACGATGGGGAGACGTGGGAGACCCAAATTGCCATCAAGAACAGTCGTGTATCGTCTGCTTCTCGTGTGGTGGATCCCACAGTGATCGTGAAGGGCAACAAGATTTACGTCCTGGTCGGAAGCTACAATAGTTCGAGAAGCTACTGGACGTCGCATGGTGATGCGAGTGACTGGGATATTCTGCTTGCCGTTGGTGAGGTTAAGAAGTGTACTGTGGACGACAAGACGGCTGCGAGTATCAAATGGGGGAGCCCCGTGTCACTGAATGAATTTTTCCCGGCAGAAATGGAAGGAATGCAAGCAAATCAATTTCTCGGCGGTGCGGGTGTTGCCATTGTGGCGTCCAACGGGAATCTTGTGTACCCTGTGCAGGTTACGAACAAAAAGAAGCAAGTTTTTTCCAAGATCTTCTACTCGGAAGACGAGGGCAAGACGTGGAAGTTTGGGGAGGGTAGGAGCGCTTTTGGCTGCTCCGAACCTGTGGCCCTGAGTGGGAGGGAAGCTCATC